TGTTTTACCATTTTTGAAAACACAGCCATGTTTGTGTTTGTGTGGGAAAGATGGCTACAGTTTCTATGTAACCCATGAAGAGTTTGCAAAAAACGAAATTTTGCCAAATGCTTCTGTTTGAGATCCAAATTGTTTGGGAAAAAAAAAGCATTTGTGAATCAAGGTAACACCGTGCACAGCAAAACTGTCTCAAAAAGAGAATGAGGAACAGGGTAGCTCAGTGGCATAAGCGCCTGACCAGCAAGCGTGAGGTCATGAGTTTGATCCCAGTACCAAAAAAAAAAAAAGAATGAGAAGGAAACAGGATGGAAGCAAAAGACAATTTAATAGTCCAACAAGAGATTATGACTTGGAAAAGGTGATAGTGGTGCAAATGCTGTCAAGTTCTTGGACTCTGAGAATTATTTTGAACAAAGCCAACAAGATTTGCTAAAGGACTGAATGTGCAGTTTAAGACAGTTATTTTATTAGTATGAATTTAAGTAGTACTTTTAAACATTTGACTTTTAGAGGGTACTAAGTATTTAATCTATTAAGTGTGAAACTTTATAACCTGAAATAACAGAAATAAGCATACATAATAAAATACTCCCCCAAAAAAATACTCCCAATCTTTTATTGTACACACACCTCAAAACTCACTGAAATTAAAATGGCTATGTTGCTAGGTGTAGTTTTTATCTCAATAGATTTAGTCCAAAAGAGAAAAAAAAAATAAGATTTATCTATTTTATTCAATATCTTATGTACTTTTTCATTTTTTTTTTCTTTAACTTTTCAAACATTCTTTTTCAACAATCCTGAGAATAACATATGTATATAAAATGCCACAAAATACTGCTTATAAACATTCTTCTGAGCAGGGTATAATGGTGCATCCCTGTAATTCCAGCACTTGAGTGGCTGAGGCAGAAGGATAATTGTAAGACCAGCCTGAGCTATGAGCTATGAAGTAAACTCAAGGCAGCCTGAACTGCATAGTAACACCCTGTCTCAAAGACAAAAAACAAAATTCTTTTGTTGCAGACTTATCCAGGCAGAAACAAAGTATTTCACCAGAGATACATTAATAGATTAGCTCTATCAGGACACTATACACTGAAATATCTAAAAATATTAACAATCAGTTCGGGTGGTGGCATACACCTGTAATCCCAGCCCTGGGGAGGCTGGGACACAAATGCCCCAGGCCAGCCTGAACTACATAGCAAGACTTTGTCTCAAAAACAAACAAACAAACAAACAAACAAAAAAAAAAAAAAAATATATATATATATATATATTTCTCTAGGCATTATTTGTAATAGTTATGAAAGAGTAAAATTTAGGTTACTATACAAACTTTACAGCTAATCCAGTGGTTCTACAATCAGTTATCAGTGACCATCAGTGTAATATGCAGGGTTTCCTGCCCTGTTTATAGTCTGCATGGTATCCTAGAGGCTGACATAACTGCCTCAGTCTAAGCAAAGCATGCCCTTCAATACATTATTTTATATCCCAAATTTCCATGGGATTGGAGTCCAAAGGAATTATTCTTAGGGGGAAAAAATGTATTCAATGCCCAAAGAAGAATGTAGAATATTAACTAAAAACTTAATTTACAGCAAGGCTTTTTAAGGATATGAAAATACTGAGTGGTTGGTGGTGCACAACTCAGTGGCAGAATAGTTATACATACTTTGATTTTTGTTTGAAGGAATGAAGGAAAAATAAAAATGTTCAAGTATTTTGAAACTCCAAAAAATAGGGAACTGATGTTTTTCTAAGAGATTTTCACTTTGTTAGTTTTCCATTTTCAATGATTAAAAAACAGTATCATATATACACAAACGTTAGTGGCTGCCACAAACTGAAGCAGAATAGAGAATGACTTGTGAATAGGCAGGAGTGATCCTTTTGGGATAATGGTTGCACAACTCCATACATTTACTAAAAATAATTTAATTACCTTCAGAAGCAATTTTTTAAAAAATAAATTTAGGACAACTAGCAAAATCTCCGACCTAATAACTAGACAATATTTATCAATGTTAATTTCCTGATTTTTATAATCATATTGTTAAGCAAGAAAAACTACTAATTTCTAGAAAACTCAGGTTAATATTTGTAGGTTAAAGGGCAACACATCTGCAACATAGTAGCAAAATGTTTCACAAATAAACCATAGAGAAAAGAGAGAATGAAGACCATTGGCAAAATGTTAACATTTGGCTAATCTAACGGACTTGAAAATTTGTGTTATTCTTCCAAGTTTTTTTTAATTTGCAATTGTCAAAAAATTAAACCGCAGTATCAGTAATTGTGACTATTATTTTTCCTTTTATTTTGTGTGCGGCAATTTTCTGGTTTTTTGCTTGTGTTCCGAGATAGGGTCTCACTATGTAGCCCACGTTGGCCTCAAACACACCAAGTTTCCTGCCTCAGCCTCTTGAGTACTAAGGTTACAAGCACATGCCATCACACATGACTAAAAAATAAACATTTTTAAAAGGTGAAATTACTTTTAATGATGTTAATGACTCAATAGTGCTAACTATTACTTTCAAATTATAAACAATTTATAAATAAATTATAAATGAATAAACAAATTATAAATAATTTTTCTCTAAATCTTGTGTAAGAGAAACTGGTAAATCTGTCTTTGGCCCGAAAAGGTAATTTAGTTTGAAAAACTTCAAATTCTTATTAGTTCTTAGGTTATTATTCAATGCTAGTATATATACATTCTGAGCCCTAACACAGTGAAATTACAAAAAACAAACAAATGAACAAACAAAAAACACAAAATAAAGAATCCCAGCACTCATCTGGCTGAGGCAGAGGAATGCAAGTTCAATGCCAGTCTGGGCAACACAGCAAGACCTTGTCTGGGAAAAAAAAAATCCTAAAAGTCTTTTCATTTTCTACACTAATGGAGCTCACCTTTGTGAAAACAAAAATTTGGTAATTACAAAATATTTTAATAAAAATAAACATTATTATTTACTTTTATTTACAAAAGTCATTATCTTATTTAAGCTCCCAAATTACCCGTTACCTGGTATAGATTTGTCATTCTCTTTACAGATGAAGCTAACCTTCCCAAGTAAACATAGTAAGTAGTGGAGACTCCAAGGTTCCCCACTGTCCTGAAATTATCCAAAGGTTTTTATTCCACCACAGTGTTTCCTTCTAGTAGTAATACACCAAAGAAAAAGAAAGGAACTTATGAATTACAACTTTATGAAAGTCTGGTCATTAGAAAACACTAAAAAAAAAAGTGAAAAGTAAGGCTCTGGCACATCACTGAAAATTCTCAAGCAACAACAATTAATACAAATTAAACACTTATTGAAATGTTACTGGAATGATGCATTAAGGACTTTACATATGTTCTCAATTCCCAAATCCAATAACATGAACTGGGTACTATTATCTATTTTACAGATGAAAAAAAAATCTCCGCAGCCAGCAAGGTGGCAGATAGCTGCTGAGGCAGGAGGATGGTGACTTTAGGGCCAGTGTGGGCTACACAGCAAGTTCAAGGCCAGCATGATCTAAGTAGCAAGAGATTCTGTCTCCCCACAAAAAAGTACCAATAAAAATTTTTTAAAGAGTAGTATATTATCTACTAGAATCCTCAGAACTGATGGAACTGAAGCATTCTCAAGGCATCTGAATGTTTTGGGTGTAATCTTTAAAAAAGTAAAGCAGATCAAAAAACACAACAAAACAACAACAACAACAAAATCCAGACATGGTGGCACACACCTGTAATCCTTGAATTCGGGAGGCTGAGGCAGAAGCATTGCTGCAAGTTCATGACCAGCCTGGGCTACAAAGTGAGCTCGAGGCCAGACGGAACTGCACAGCGAGACTCTGTCTCAAAAAGACAAAATAAATAAGCAAATTAATGTAAAAAGAACCAAAAAAGCCGAGCATGATGGTGCACAGCTGTAATCCCAGTACTTGGGAGCTGAGGCAGGAGGATCACCAGGAGGCTGAGGCCATCCCGAGCTACATGAGCCAATTCAAGGTCAGTCTGCACTATGCACAGACACCCTGCCTCCGAACAAAAAACACAAAAACAAAAATTTTAAATTACAACAAACCGCCCCAAAGCTGCCTGGACACTACCAGCAACTACCTAATACAAATACATCACCCTAAAGCAATCTGAGGCAAGAGAAGTCCAATTTCTGCCCTCTTTTTGGTCTGCTCCACTCTGCCCAGGATCAAAATGGCATTTCCATGACAACGTATATCCATATTGCATTATTTGAAAATAACCTTCATACTCCCAGGTCTATTTCGAAAAACGTATTTAAAAATCAACAGTGAAAACCAAAGACAGATAAGAAAGGACATTTTAACGTGGAAGTCACTCGTCTCTTAGAATGAATGACACTACAAGTTACTGCATCCTTCAATGAGGAAAGCGGGTAGGACATCAAAATATCACAGTGCTTAAAAAAAAAATGGGCTTTAGCTAAATGGGGGAGGGGGGGACAATTCATTTTATGGCAGGCTCTAGATGACCAAAGAGGAAGGGAAATAAGTCCGATGAAGGCCAAACCTCGCTATAAAGAGTGAATGTGGGCTGCTTTAAAGGCAGAGCCTAGGGCTGGCACATCCTACGACCGGAAAATCTAACAGGAGGGCTTGCAGGACTCGGGAAGGGCCCCCCAGAAGAAAGCCATTCATTTTGTAGCTAACGCAGAGCCCAGATGTAGCCGAGGCGATTCACACTGCGGCGGAACGTGGACGGGAAATGGGGCTCCAATGCGAGAAACGACCAGGCCTCCACGGGCTCCTTGGCCCACAGGTTTTTGGCGGCCTTCAGAAAAACGGAGAAACCCACGCCTCGTGCACGCCACCGCCCTCATCCCACCCCACCCCTTTCCTTCACCCCAATCCCGAACCAAGCCATTCGCAGCTACCCTGGCTTTTCCTCCCCCTCCCCCAGCTGAGGTAACCAGTCACCAGGTTTCCACACAAGCTCAGAAGCGTGAACTTACCCGCCACTAAGAAAACCGTACTGTCTTCGTCGCCTTCTAGGCTCCAGGTCACAACAAGTTATATTAGCTCGAGGTTTCTGTTCGCCGCCCGCTCAGAAGACGGGTTCCAAAGCGCCTATTACCACAGGCCGCAAACACAGCCGCCTTGCGCGGGCCGCTTCTGGAGGTCTTCCTCTTACCCAGCGTGCACTGCGGCCAGGTGCGTGGAACTAGGAACCATAGAGAAGAGAGCATATAGATAGTCTCCACTGTTGGCTCTGACATCCTCCTCAATGCAGAAAAACCATAGAAAAGATGGTTCTAACGGGGAGCTAGAAGGGCTCAAACTATAAACCACGCCCCACCCTGCCATTTTTGATTAGAGCCTACTGAATCTTATGACTACGCGACGCCATCTTGAGGTCACGGTTTCTCTTGGGCACCACGCGAAGCTTGTTAAAAGGATTGCTAACTTTCCTAGGTTTTTCAGGGGATTAGAACTTTGCTTTCTAATTGTTGAAGTTCGATGAACTGAAAATTCGGACCTACGCAGAACCGCCGGAAGAAACTCCAGATGCTAATTTTTCTCTGGAAAACTGGCTTCCTGTGAAGGAAAAACTGGCAAAGCCCCCCACACACATTTTAAAGTGAACACACCCTAAGTGGCTCGCGGTAGTAGCGCCAAAGAGGTAGCTAGATGGTTGAAATACATAAAAAGACATATCTCAGTGCTCGCTTCGGCAGCACATATACTAAAAAGACATGTCAGAATATTTAATTCAGCTTTCATCTGTGATACACACTAAGATTTTTTTTTTTTTCCGGTTCCTGGGATCGAACTCACAACCTTGCACTTGCCCAACAAATCTTATGCCGCTGAGCTGAATCCCCGGCCAAGATCTGTATTTATTAGTGGAAATGAAGTTTGGACTGTTGGCTTTTCAAAAGGCTTGCAATTGTCAGCAGAAAGTTATCCCCTGTGCAGGTGCTTGGTGCTGTGTTAAATGCTGGCACTGTGAAGACAAACGGGAAAGATTTGTTTCTGTCATATAAGAGCTATAGTCAAGGTGAAATAAGTAACACTGATCACCCTATGTAACACTGAAACACCTGGACACTTCCTGTCTGGCTTCCCCTGTAGCGCTTGTCACCATCTACCTTATTCTCTTGGTTATGGTTCCCCTGCCCCTACTCCACTAGAATGTTAAGCGTATGAATGAACGTTTCTTTCCCTGCTATAGCTCCAGGACCTCAAATAGGGCCTTAAGTAAAAACTAGGTGTTAAGAGTTCAAGAAATGATACGAATGCCAGATGATGGGTAACAAAAAAACGCAGTACTGTGCCAGTGTTAATGACACTGGCTATATAGCAATATCGCCATGTACGAATTTTACACTCATGTATACTGGTGCTTGATAACATTTGTAGGGTTTTTAAACCATTAAGTGTGATTAATAATACTTTCCAGGATCATTACAAAGATTACTTTAACGTGTGTGAAATTTTGTTCAGTAAAGTGCCGATTAAATACAGTTTACATTTTGTAAATAGTCTGTACTCTTTTTTTTTTTTATCAGTGGCATAAACAGAAGTCCAATCAAGTTATTCTAGCCCTTGGTATTGTTAAGAAACATTGTATGGAAATTCATTTGTTGTTTCAGTCAACAATTTGCTGACTTTCCTGTAACAGATATTTGGTATGGCTTATTCCTGAAAAGAAACTATTCTTGTGGGCATGGTGGTACAGTTTGTAATCCCAGCTACTCAGGAGGCTGAGGCAAGCAAACAGCAAATTTGAGGTCAGCCTGGTCAATTTAATGAGACTCTGTCTCAAAAAATAAAAATAAAGTGGGCTGGGTATGTAGCTCAGTGGTAGTGCACTCTGGTATCAGCCCACTCCCCAAAAAACACTCATAAGAAATACAGTTCTACTATTGGGATATAGTGAAAACACAGAAGCCTGGTGTAATGGCATATGCTTATAACCCCAGCACTGGAAAGGCTGAGGTAGCCAGATCCATGCAAGGGTGATGTAAACCTGGACTACACCTTATGTAGATCAGGGTAGCCTCAAGCTCATGGTGATCCTCATGTTTTAGCCTCCTGAGTGCTGGAGTGTGACTTCTTGCCTTACTGGATATTTTGGAGCCAATGATAAATTTCAAAACTATGTTAAAAGAAAGAAAACTTACCTGTAAGACCTTAAAAAGATGATAGACCAGGCTACAAAGGAGTATAATATTGAAAAGGCTGAGGAATTTAGCAACAACCTTGATATACCAGAGTTTGATGTAAAAATTTCCAAAGCAAGCCAGGTATGGTGGCAAATACCTATAAACCCCAGCACCCAGGACTAAAGTAGGAGGATCACCAGCTCAAGACCAATCTGGGCTACCTAGCAAGATCCTATCTTTAAAAAAAAATTGTCAAAGTAATTGCCTGCCACAAATTTGTAAGAGCCAAGAAAAAGGCTGAAATTCACAAGCTACACTTAAAAAAGATACTTATATAGGGATTAGAATGGAAGAAGAGATGGAAAACCAAAAACAGTGTAGAATCTATATAACCTAGCAGAATTCTTCAACACATTTGTAGAGTCACATCCTCAATTTATTAAAAAGATATTTTGTTAATGTATTAAAAAGACTTTTTTGTTTGTGTTAAATATGTTAAGAAATTGAAAGAAAATATAAGCATGAAATTTAGGAGTTTATTATTATTTTCAATTTTTTCTAAAGATCTCCATGAAATGAAGCATTCCTTTTGTACAAAAAATCTAAACATTCATACTGAGAAAATGTACAGGATTTTGTATATTTAAATACACCTGGGACTTGGGGTATAGCCCAGCAGGTGTAAGTGCCTGCTTGGCAAACGAGGTCAAGAGTTTGATCCCCAGCACCAAAAATAACTAACTAAATAAATAAATAAACCTACAGTATAAAATCACTTGCACCTTTCACAATTTAGACTAGCATAGCCAGTGAACTCCTTGTACATTTTTTTATTTTGTATTTTTTAGACAGATGGCCTTGGGCTCACTTTGTAGCCCAGGCTAGTCTCTGCCTCAGCCTCCCAAGTGCTGGGATTACAGAAGTATGCCCCCACACCTGGCTAACTCCTCACTTTCTTAGCAGTACTAAGTGAAACTGTACTTATTCTGGAATACTGTTTTCTAGATTGGTTTATACTGGATGATTTATTGCCACATGGTCTCTGTTGAGGCTTTTTTACAAATGATTTAATTCCTTTAATGTTGGAAAAATAATTATTGGCATTCTTAAAATGGAAGAATAGTGAACAGCAGAGAAATAGCCTCTCTGAGCCTTGATGTTCTCATGGAGGAGTATACCAATGTGAGGAAGAGAAGACAGAGGGAAATGGGTCCCTGGGCCCCAGCAAGGATCTAAAGCAAGAATTGAAGCCCACAAGAAAAGCAAAGAGGTGGCAAAAGCACTTTCTCCCTGAGCCCTGATATACTACATGGGAAAGGTGGCTTGGAACCTGCAGATAGTGGCTACTGGTGGCTACTGGTGACCCAAAGAGTGTACAGGGAAAAACACACCAGTGGAACAGAGCAGTGGTCTCTGTAGCTGGGAGTTATTTAGGTTCAGCCATACCCCAGGAGAGGACGATTGGCTGATAGCTATCGTGGAGAGAGGTCACCGGAGCTTGGAACTCTGAGCAGCTACAGGCTGCCTACATCTAGCAGCTCCCAGTGTCAAGATGAGGTAGTACTAGTCAGGGTTTTTCTAGAGAAACAGTAACACAATATACACAACACAATATATACAAGTGTATAAGAAATTACAACACTGGCTTACAACGGTCAGTCAGATGAGGAGGCCAAAGGATTCAGTCCAAGATCTGGAGTTCACCAGTGTCCGGTGCAAGTTCGCACCAGGAGGTCAATAGGTCTGTGATGGAAGAGCGAAGAATCTATGCCAGAAGGCCGAAGGATCCAAGGCAGGAGCTGGAGTCTACTCTGGAAGCAGAAGACAACATTCAAGCCAAAAGTGAAGAATGGAGCACTGCTGAAGAACGAAATATCTTGTTTGTCTGTCCTTCCTAGCATCCAGGCAAGGAGCCACCTTAGGGCAGATCTTCTACACCCTAGGCTGTAGAATTGCTTACCCAGTATAGTTAAGCTTCTAAATGTCTCAGATTGACACAATCAATCAACCACTACAAAGTGGAACCAGGTTCAAACTGGCAAGAGTTCAGGGAGCCAAATTCAAACTAGCAGGAAGTACACAAGGTATTGCAGACTGAATGAATTGAGTTCCAACCTCACAGCCAGAAACAAGCCTAAACTTCAGTGGGACTAAAAGTAGCAGAGATGTGCCTGGAAGTAGAAATTTGTTTCTTTTTTTCTTTCTCTTCTTTCTGTTTTGTTTTCTTTTTTCTTGATCTTGTTTTTATATAAGTATAAATATTGTTTCTAGTCTCTTGTTGTTGTTCTCTTCTCATTTTTATTTCTCTTGGTGCTGGGGATCAAACTCATGACCTGGTGTTTGCCAAGCAGGTACTTACACCGCTAATGAGCTAAACTCCCGGCTCTTGTTTTTATTTCTTCCTTATCTTTTTCTGTATTATCCTCTTAACCAGTTTCCCTAAATTTGAATAATTTTCCTTTGTCCTCCAACCTTGCTTCTAACCTCTTCCTCTTCTATTTCTCTATTTTTTTTTTCTACAAATCCTTTTTAAATTGCCTCCTGTGAGGGTAAAAATCACCATACTGAAAGCATGTGCACTATATTCAATTTTCAAGTTTCTTTTAATCTTTATTATATAACTACAAATCTGATTCATAGGGCCAAAGGCAGCAAATTAATAGTTACCACAGTTGGTCATTTTCTAGGCCTTGTTTGATCTGTTGTTAGTACTGATTGTACTAGTTTATCCCAGGTGACATAATTGTTCTAATCTGTTATTCTTCCTGGTATACCAAGACTGAGATTGCCTGAGAGTCACAAAAATACTATAGGCCAGTGCCAAAGAACCAGAGGCTAGGCCAAATAGGCAGCAACTTCTCATCCCCAATAAATTGAAAAGGTAAGATCTTTCAGCAGATTTAAAACCCAAAAGCCAGCTACACCTGGAAGACATTTCCAAGAAGCAATATTTTTTAGAGTTCTGATTACTGACAAAAAAAGCTATTTGTCATAAGCAATTTACAAACATCAACCGAGGAATTAAAGTAAAAAATAAAATAGAAAATGAGAATCTGGGTGTGGTGGCTCATGCCTGTAATCCTAGCACTCAGGAGGCTGAGGCAGGAGGATTGTCATGAGTTTGAGGCCAGCCTTGGCTATGTAGTTGAGTTAAGGGGCAGCCTGAGCTATAGAGTGAGACCCTGTCTCAAAAAAAAAAAAAAAAAAAAAACAAGAAAGAAAATGAGAGATGAAAGAGTTTTGGCCCAGACAGGACACTGTAGCTGGTAAAGCCTCAGGCAGAACCCAGGAGCTCCATCTCCCCCACCCCTAGGAATTTACCTATGGCGCCAAAAGAATACCAATGGGCTACCTGTCATCACTAATGCCCCTTAGGTTCCACCCCAAACCTAGGCTATTATATGCCTCCACTCCACGTGTTCCACAGAAGATCGCCGACCCCAGGGGGAGACGCTGCGCCCCAGGGGATTGGGGGTGTTTTTCCCTGCATTCTCAAAATAAAGGTCATTTATATTTCATACTTCTTTTCAGCCACCGCCGGTCCCCCACAGTTCTATCAAGAGATACTTAAGCAAGATGAAATCCCAGACAGATCATCAAAGGCAAACCCAGGGCACAATGAGGTGGAACAATTCGAAAACCAATTCTCTAAACTTTCTCAAATGCTAAGAGTAGGAATAACAGCCAGGCATGGTGGCTCGTGCCTGTAGTCCTAGCACTCTGGAGGCTGAGGCAGGAGAATCATTGCAAGTTTGAGACCAGCCTGGGCTACAAAGTGAGCTCAAGGCCAGCCTGAACTGCATAGGGAGACCCTGTCTCAAAAAGACAAAAAAAAAAAAAAAAAAAAAAGTACAGTTTAGGAAGAAAACAGAAACCATGAATACCCAACATAGTAAAGAAAAGGAATCCATTAAACAGATTCCAATACATATTCCCAAGATGAAAACTTCAATTCAAACTAAATGCACCAGAATGAGTCAATATGAGGATAGGTCAGCAGATCTAGAAGACAGGATTGTAGTTAGCAATTGTGAAAACAAAAATTTCTTAACTGGGTGTTATGGCATATACTTGTAATCCCAGCACTTGGGAGGCTGAGGCAGGAGAATCATTTGCAAGTTAGAGACCAGCCTGGGCTACAAAATGAGCCCACGGCCAGCCTAAACTGTGTAGCAAAACCCTGTCTCAAAAAGACAAAACAAAAACAAAAATAGAAAGGGCTAACCGGGTTTGGTGGTACACATCTGTAATCCCAATACATGGAAGGCTGAGGCAGGAGGAGTTCCACAAATTCAGGGCCAGGTTGAGCTACACAGTACATTCAAAGTCTGAACTACACAGCAAGACTGTCCAGGGCTGGGGATTTAACTCCGTTGCATAAGCACTTGCCTGGAAAGCATGAGGTTGTGAGTTTAAAAAAAAAAAAGATTGTGTCCAAAAAAAAGAGAGAGGTGGAACAGAATGTAGTTGTGCATATCTTTCATCCCAGCATTTAGGAGACTGATGAAGGAAGGTAACTGTGAGTTCAAGGAAATCCTGGGCTACATAAGTGCCTGACTGCTAAGCTTGAGGTTGTAAGTTCAATCCCCAATACAAAAATAAAATAAAATAAAATAAAATGTCTTTCACAAAAATCAATCATGTGGAAGGCTAAGGTAGGAGGATTGCTATGAGTTTGAGGCCAGCCTTGGCTACAAAGTGACTTCAAAGCCAGCCTGAACTGCATAGGAAAACCCTGTACCCCCCACCAAAAAAAAAAAAAAAACCCAAAAATATTCAACTCAACAGCTACTAGATAATACAAAGAACATAATATTGATCAGAGTCAATGAAAAAGCAGGAGGTATTACAAACAACATAAAAAACCTATTCACAGAAGTATGGGCAGAAAACTTGCCAAGAAGGAAAAAAATTGACATACAGAAAAATGAGGCATATATGACTTCAATGAGCCATGATCCAAAAAAAAAAAAAAAATGTACACCAAGGCATCTACTAGTGATGCTTCCAGAAATTCAACAAAGAATAGATTATTAAAAGCTGTTAGAGTGCTGTGTTCATCCAATTTTACCATGTGAACATGCCCCCCTTGAACATTATGACATTGTACTTTTTTTTTTAAAAGGGATGAAGAACAAAATTTTTAATTATATTCCACAGACATAAAATTAGTTGGTTTCTGTCTTTATCTAGTCAACAGGACAAGTAATGACAACTTATTGACCAGAACACACCCATAGTTAAACTCTAAACTACAGAGATTAGACTAAATATCTGTTAGGTCTTGTTACTTGTCCTGCTTTGCCCACTGAGCTGTTACCTCTTCTTTTTTAAATTTTAGTTAAAGAGAAAAAACAAAACAAAACAGAAAAAGGGTAGAAATAATACATAATTTCAGAAAAAATAAACACTAAGAAATCACTAGTTGATAAATTACATATTGTCCTCTTAGAAATAGTTGTCCAAGTTACAAAAGTAAAGCATACAAAGTGGACATTCAAACAGCGAGACTGCAAACAGTTCTGTTCAGTGATCCAACAAAAACCTAGTAATATGGTTATCAACCTTACACATTTAAACGTGCATGCAGCTATATCTTTTAGTGCACTTTGGCAATGTACTTTTTTGTCTAAAGACTGTGTACAGAGAAAATTAGTCTGCTGATTTTGTTTAGTGCCTAGCTATGTCCATCCCATATTAAGCCAGTCCCAGCACTGTTACCCATGAATGGGAGCAGAGGCAGTTGGCTGTAAGAATTAGGAGTAGAAAGGTAGGGCCAGGGGTTTAGCTCAGTGGCGTAAGTACCTGCTTGGCAAATGTGAGTTCATGAGTTCAATCCCCAGTACCAAAAAAAAAAAAAAAAGGGAAGTTAGTGTGTAAGCATATATAGCCAAGAAACCATGCTTTGAAGTCTCATAGGAGCAATTCAAGAAGCCAATTCACCCTTCTAGAAAACTGCACAAACCATGCGGGGCCCAGGAAGAGAGAAGCCAGTTTGTCCTTCCTGTGTGATGACCAGCATGTGGGTTAAGAATCAAGAAATCTTCTCTCCCCTCTGATAAGCAACAGCTGGTTCCACGGACAGGCTCAGCTGATAGAGACTGAGATACAAAAACAACTAAATGCTTGTATGGCTTGATTGACTTTGCAAGTCTAAGGCTGTTAGTCTGAGCATCTATTAGGAGGATAACAGTATGTAATATAGCAAATATGGGGGATTTCCTTCTATCTTGTTTTTGAAATCCAATATTGTTCTCACTGTTTTGTTTTGTTCCAATTTGTTTTGCTTTATTCAATGTTCTGTTTTGATTGGTTTTATTCTGTTGTATTTGATTTTACTATGTCTGATGGAGTGGACAACTATTGTGAAAACAAGAGATATTATGGTAGCCACTGTAGATTTCTTTCCTATTATCCTGCTTCAAAGTTCTATACCAGTTTCACTGCTTTATTTTGATTGGCTTTATTCTGTTTCGTTTTGTTGGGTTTTATTCTCTTTAAAATAAAAAACATATACATAGTATATATATATATATATATATATATATATATATATATATGGCGGGAAGAAGAAAAAAAACCACCTAAAAGGAAAGTCCATTAGAAACCCAGCAGACTTCTCAAAACAAATCCTCAAGTCAAGGAGAGCCTGAAGTTAAGTATTTTATTTTATTTATTTATTTATTTTTTTAATCCCCAGCCCCCCAAGTTAAGTATTTTAACCCCTAAAAGAAAACAACCTCCAATCCAGACTGATGTACTTTACAAAACTATTTTTCAAAATTGATGGAAAAATAAGATATTTCTATGA